TTCTACAAAACCTGTTCCAAAATTCCAAATTAGAGCCACATTTACCACAAAAAAACAAAAAAAACAAAGCAACTTTTTCTGTCTTTTCTTGGAAGAAACTGAAAAACTATGGAGGAAAAATTAGTGAAAAATTAGCGGACATATTCTTATTCTGTGGTCAGAGTAGATTCAGCGACATTTAGGCTCGAATCAACCGGCAACAACGACCGAATGACATGTTCTACGTTTATATTGTGATTTATTATATTCATATCAATTTTAAAATGTATTGCAAGTAGATGAACAACAAATGGTTTTTTACCGCTAAGAACTGATTGGGCGGAGTGACGCTTTGAAGCGCCATTGGTTGATTCTGTCTTTACTTCCGCCCTCTCCCTAACTGACCAATGGCAGATGCTCTTACTGAGACACCTGATTTGCCGCTAAAACCAAACTCACTTCAGTTGTCTGCGTGTGTGGATGTTGGTAACAAATAGGTAGGTGAGTTATATAGCTTTTGACTCTTCTTTCTTGTCGTTTTGGGGGGTTTTGCTGGTGAAACGTACCGTTGGCGGGTAACGGTTGGCTCGTTTGTTACCAACGAGACCTTTATCTTAGTTTAATTACCGACCAGACGGTCAGTTCGACGGGTTTTTAGATGATATTTGAGGTCAGACAGTCCTAATTAGAAACCTGTCACAGCTGTGAAAACGAGTTGAAGTCACTTTAGTAGTTTTCAAATAATTGACTTTATATATTTGTGTAAAAATGCCAATTTGCTAGGTGTCGACGCGTAATACGTAACGTAAGTTAGGTGTAAAACATGCGGAGTAATGCTACAAAAGATGGCAGATTTATTTTATTTTTTTTCTTAATAAATTCGGATCATGGACGCGGTCTTTATTTAAAAAGGCGCTCATACCGGCTGATTAACGTAAAAAAACGGTTACGTTACGTCAACGTCCACCAGGCTCCATGTTCGAGCCATAAAATGTTCCTTTTCTAATTCCAACTGAGGGGTTTATCCTTTCAAATGCACTTTTAAAAACATAAATCTGATCCGTGTGCATACCAGAAACAGGAATCTCCTCTGTTCCTTTTCTGTAGACTACCAAAAAACCAGAACCTATGTGAAAAAATGCCCCATTGAGATTTGTGTAACTTCTCTTGAGGATCTCCTGCTGCTTCTTATGCCATGAAACCTTCTTTATTTAATAGGTTTGAGCAGTGTAAAGACTGTGCAGGACCTAATCTGATGTGGTCAGCGTGTTAAAAGAGCAGCCAGCTATTTAATCAGAACGTGTAAATAGAAAGCAATCATCGGCACTGCCTAAAAAAGGTTCAATAGAGCAACATCTGTGCACAGCAGGCCTTTGGACAAGCCAGATAAAGCCTACCTCAACACAACAGCCAAAGTCCACCTGGACAAATGTAATGGAAAATGATGCGAAAGGTGGTCTACATGTTTCTAGATCACTTCTGTGCATAGAAATGAGTCCTTAGTAGTCACCACTAGGAGGTGGCCTCCAACTTTCTGCCTGGTAAAAAAATTAATTAGGATTATTTGGTATTGTTTTGTATGAATTTGCCCTTCTTGCAAAAATATAGATATTTCACAGCTTCTCCTTCTTGTTTCCACAATAATCCAGACCCACCAAACCAAATTCTGGAGCTTTAACCTGTTAAAAGCTGAAAAGCTAACGCCTTTCATGTTATAGTCTGCTACATGATTACTACATAGACATGCTTTGTAGGGATATTGTGCATCTTTCTCTTCTTTTTGACAACCCAGCACAGTTTGTTTTAGGTGAATTCCTCTCAAATGTCCAGCAGTGGTGCTCATATGTGTCTGTCTTGTTCTTTCTCAGGTTCCAGATCAATGTGGTGAAGCTGTGTGACTGAAAATGGGAATCTCTGGACTGTTGCAATTCATCAAAGATGCTGGCGAGCCCGTCAGCGTGAAGAAATACAAAGGCCGGACGGTGGCTGTGGACACCTACTGCTGGCTGCATAAAGGAGCCTTCTCTTGTGCCGAAAAGCTCGCGAAAGGGGAACCCACTGACCAGTAAGCGGTTTCCTTCTTGTCGGTGACAGAGAAAGGATGTCGATAGTAACTTTTAATATGAGCTTGGGATGGACCTGAGAGAGAAAAGTCTTGATACTGGGGCAAGAGAGGGTAGTTTTCTATGCAAAGTGAGGCCACTTGCTTCTCTAAGGTGGTCAGACAATGCAGCAAGAAGCACCTTAAAGCTACAAATGTGACACCAATCTGGTTTGAACAACTACAAATGGACAAAATGTGACATTTTCTTGTGCTGTGTGTGGAAACACATGGGTGGTCCTGTCAGAAACCGTGACGCTCTCCTTTAAATGTGTCCTCACTAGGTATGTGTGGTACTGTATGAAGTTCGTGGACATGCTGCTGAACTTCGGTGTTAAACCAATTCTGGTGTTTGATGGACGCAATCTGCCCTCCAAGCAGGAGGTGGAAAAAGCTCGCAGAGAGTGAGTACATCCAGCATCTGATCTTTGACCAGCAGGCCCGTTAGTCCGTCTTCACCCACTAAAGATCGCCATGAAAAGATTTCAATCAATGCTTCACCTTTCAGACGCAGGGAAGTCAACCTCCAAAAGGGCCGGAAGCTGCTGCGTGAGGGCAAACTGTCGGAGGCCAGAGACTGTTTCACCCGCTGCGTCAACATCACTCCGGCCATGGCTCACAACCTCATCAAGGTAGGAGACTCACTGTTCAAAGCTCAACTTAAAACGTATTTGTTCAGGAGGGCTTTTTCCACGTCAAATCTCTGTATACTGGGTTCTGTCACCAATGTGTTTGTCTTTGTGTATTTCGATAGTTTGATCTGTTTTTATTCTGTAAAGCACTTTGGTCAGCTCCGGTTGTTGTAAAGTGCTATATAAATAAACAATGATTGATTGATTGAGATCAAATGTCCAGAGGGTGGTGTTTTTTTGTTTTTTTTTAAACAAAATTTTTATAATTTTTTCAGAGATAATACAGTGTGGTACAAATGTACATGTGTATTTTGACATTTTTAAACATAAAAAACAAACAAACACAGGGTGATTACAAGACTTTGAGAAAAAAAAAAAAAAACCTTATTGCATAATTAGTGGAACGACAGGTCTCCAACGTTTATTGAACATGGGTGTTTGTAGTCTC